ATTCGTGAAGCCATTTCAGCTCCGTTTTGAATCTTCCGTTCGAACGTTTTCCCGAGAATGGTACTTAGACTCGAACCCCATTTCATTTGAAGTCATATTTTGTGTTATGTGTTACAATATGTGCTAAGTTTCTGAACGTGAGACGTACGAGTTAATTACATGACTTGGATGTTTTATTGAGCCACATATTGAGTTTATATTTTATTTGGGTATCAAAGTGATTGCCGTCACTTTGGTTTATTGTCGAACTGAGTTTCGAGTAGTATTTTTCGTGGAAATCCTGGAGTTATAGGTAATTGGAGTTGTCCTCGAGTTATTGGATTTGGTTTGGGGTCGTTTCGATGTGTATATCATGAGTTATTAATTTTCTAAATCGAGTATGCAGCTGAATCGTAATTAATTCATGTTAAATCGTGTGATTGTCCGACAGTCATGAAATTTTATATGTAATGTCCTGTGATGATTTTGTAAGTCGTGTAAAATTTTCATGTCGAAACTCCATTTGTAGTTATTTTAGTTAATTGAATCGGTTTCTGGTCAGAATTTTGTAAAATTCATTTAAACTCGTACACTAGGAGTTTTGAGCTGAAACTTTGAGACGTATGTTATTTTGTGGTATTCTGTGTTGTGTCAAAAGTTTGGAGTAAAATTCGAAGTGTAGCTATATGAACTATTAATGTCGTATTTTGACACTGTTTTTGCTTAAATTATTTAAAAATGCTCCCAGATGAATTTAGGGCTGAAACTTGGTGAGATTATGTGTTTTTGTATGTCTTGTGATTTGGTAAAGTTTCAGGTTGATTGGTTGAGTCTAACTCCGGATTCTGAATTTTATTTATTTTGGAGTCTTAATGCTCGGTTATCCGTTGTTTAGGTTCAGATTTGATTTTATTGATGTTGGCATAATTTATGTGTTTTACCTGAGGTACATATGTTGTGTTAAAGTCTAGTAGTCACTCCAAAGTACTTAACTCGGTCAAGAAATCCACGAGTCACTTAGTCGATATGATTTCGACTAAGTATATGTGCTTTGTGTGTTGTCTTGGATTGGTAGTCAGTTGATAGGCTATTATAATTGTTGTAGGTTCATCGAGCTGAACTTTTGCCATTGTTCCTTCAACCATGTGTTTGGCTATATCTCGGTATCCAGGTGGGTTATTCAAAATTTGTCTATGCCTTGAATGATAATTGCTTTATTTATGTGGGTATGATCAATGTATGCATGTGAGCATGTAACCTTCGATGTGATCTGTACCGGCCGTTGAACGGTTATCCCCGTAGCTATAGAACGTACCCCACAAGGGTAATCTCCATGTTTGTCCTTTGCTAAGGACCACGTCATCCGTAAGACCTTGGCAATGTGCCCTGGCCGGTGATGGATATCCTGTTTCAGCACTAGGTGCGTGCTGTGACGGTTGAGCCTCCTGCTGTTTGGGCACCCCATTTATGTTCGTCGAAAGGCATACGAGCAGCAGTCTATTGTTATAGGTGTGCACATGAGAATTACTTTGGTTAGGAGATGGGATATTTATTGACTATGTTCATACAACGACCATGCCATTTAATTTCTCGTACTATATTATTGTTCATGTGCATAGTAGTGAGCACTACAGTTCACCGTGCTCACTCCCACATGCTCTTCATGGATGCAGGTTAAGCAGGTGTTGGCTGACGAGACAGAGACGAGTGGTGTTGGTCTTTGACTGACCTCATTTAGTTTATTCCGCATGCTAGTATACTTGGATTTATTTATGCTTATTTATGACTTGGGAACTTTGGTATTTATGATTTATTACTTTAGAATTTTGAGAACTTTGGATTGGGAGGTGTTCCCTTATGAATAATTTCGATGAACTTGGGACTTATGAAAACATTGGATTTATGATTTACATTATTTATGTGATTTAGTTCGAGTAGCGCCACTGATTTATGAAAAGAATTTTGAAAAATTTAAGTTGACTTTTTGACTTTCGTCAAAATAAAAGTGGGGCGTTACAGTTTGGTATCAGAGCCAGTCTGCGTTTCTGTAGACTGCTCAATGTGATTTATGTGTAATTATGAATGTATGAGTATAAGCATTGACCACTCGTCTTCGTCATGCCGCACCGCTTAAGGTATGTAAGTCATAAGTAATACTGAGATTGTTTATGAAATGATTGTTTATTTAATTATGTGCTATGTCTTGCGGCTTAGGGAAATCTATCCACCTTCGATTGGCTTGAACTCTAGTGTTTGTTGGCGAACTCTAGAATTGTGGCATATATATTAGTATTATGTCGTATCAAGCTCATGCTTTGGCAGCTCTTTTGCTAAAAAGTGTTGCTTAGTGTCTTCAGTCTAGGACCATTATAGATAGCAGGACTAACAAGGAATGATTTGAATCGATTGTGGAGGAAGTTAATCGTGGACTCGTGTCACCACATCAGTTTTGTTTTCTTTTCCTAAGTTCTTGCTTTCTCAAAAACCTTGCAGACCTTCATTTATATTCCTTTCGCGTGGCAGAATATTTTGAATTGTGTTTGAGACTCCTTTATTCTGCTCAATTTCACTACTTTGGAATTTTGTTTGCCTTCCCTTCCTTTGCATGGGATGAAATTTCGGATGGAGTTAAATATTTTAATTCTTTGATGATCCTCATCTATCCTTGTAAGTTGAGAATCTTGTTTTGTGATGCCTATAATTCAATATGAAGTTGGGGAGTCGAAAAGTGTTGTTCCACCTTAAAAGATTTTGAGAATCTTTTAAGGAGGGTAGTCGTGCTAGGTGCAGCCACATCGTGAAGTGCAGGGCCGTCTTCGCTTTTGATTTTTGTTCATCGTAATCTTTGGAAGCTCATTTAGGACTATCGACACGGTTAGCTACGCGACCAAAAGCTGACGTGATGACCGACACTATTAGTCGGGAGAGTCGAGTGAGCTAAGCGTTTCATTATTCGGTAGAGAACGCTATGTTTGGGATTATTCCTAGCTGAGGAATCGATCCTCATTTCGTTGGGAAGTTTTCTCGACCTCTACCGTTTGTTCGATGGAGACTGTGTTGATCAGGGGAGGTGGTGAACTTGGAACTCGGTTTATGCATTATTCAAAATCTGAAACCCTTGAAACTGTTGTAGTTGTTCCATACCTACATGATGGGGAAAATCATTTTTTATTAAACCTCAAATTGTTGTTGTTCGAAATTTTGTGGAAAACACTTTTTCCTCCCAATTACCTTGAAAATGTTTACCTTTGATTTGGAGAAATTCTTCTCAATACCTCAAACCTAAAGCCGGCCCTGACCGGGTGTAGCCACGCGAAGTGGTGGCCGAGCACGCATGTCCGTGCTGAGAGACGTGAGGCTAGTGCACAGCCGACCGTTAACTCGCACGCGAGCTGCAGCCGCCATCACCGGACGCCAAACTCACCATGCCAATATGTACGGCCAAACCCTGATCTTGCAGTTGTTCTCCGAACAGGTACACACCCGCGTCCCAGCGCCCCGCTTATGCAGCACTAGCGAGTGTGCCACCTCTCGGGGGACAGTGCATCGACCATACTGTTGATTCATTTTTGAACCGTTCAACCAGTTTCTGTACCGGAATGTGTTGGGAAACCCCTTGAACTTTGTCTTCTGAACCTTGAACCAAGAGATCTAAGTTCCACTGAACCAATATATGAATTCCCTGAACCGCTTAATTCTCGATTAAGTGAGTTTGTTGATTAGTGCTTAGCTGCATGAGGGATGTCCCTCGAGCCGGTTGGAATTTGAGGTGCTGCATGATCGAGCGGAGTCTCGAGTCTCGATTAAAGACACTGCAATCACCGCGGGATTGATGTTGGTATAAATGTCTTCCTAGAGGTCACACCCATGCGGGATGTGGTTCGTTTCGGGTAGAAGGGGAAGCTTCAGCCTCACTATATCGGACCCTTTCAGAATCTCACACGAGTCGAAGACTTAGCCTACCAGTTAGCTTTACCGCCTGTGTTGTCGGGGTGCATGACCCCGAACACGTGGTGGACTTCGTCGAGTTGCAGGTTGAGCGAGGCCTTACCTATGAGTAGGTACTGGTGCTCGTACTGGACCGGAAGGTTCATCAGCTGAGGACCCGAGCAGTCGATCTCGTCGAGGTGCAATGGAAACTGGCACGACAAGTCCGAGGCAACTGGGGAGACTGAAACCGAGACTAGGGAGATGTATCCGGACTTCGATTGATGTTAGAGTTGGATGTTTTATTTTCGAATTCCGAGGACGGAATTCCTTTTAAGGTGGGTAGACTGTAACGCCTCGTTTATTTATGAAATATTTGAGATTATTTGTTTATTTTTTTATTTCATTATTATTATTATTATTATTATTATTATTATTATTATTTATTATATTGTCTAATTACTTTTAAATGTTTAATTGATGGTTATTATAAATATTATTATTATTTATATTAAATGCCTAACTTGCCTAAATGCTATTAAGCGATAAAATGTTTATATATTAATAAATATTATTATGTGTGTGTATATATAAATATATTTATCCGGTTTAATTTAACCGTTGATCGAACCGAGCCCGAGTAGTTGTTAGAGTTTAACCGAGAGACCCGGCCTCGTACCCGAGCCCCGACCTCTTTTATTTTGATATCGCGTATTGATTCTTTTTATTAGTATCAAGCCTTTGATCTTGTAATCGAGCCCGGGGCTTGGTCTTAAATTTATCGAGCCTGGTCCGCACGCCCCACCGAGAAGACCCGGTCACTTGAATTTCTTGGTTGGCAAGAAAATAAAAACCTAGGTTTTTGTATATATATATTTATATATATGTACATATATATCTCCTTCCATGTTTTCTCCAAACCGGCAGACTCAGATTTTTCCTCTCTCTCTCGTCGATTTAGTAGAGGAAAGAAGAAGAGAATTCTCCTCCATCGCAGCTCTCTCTCTCTATTGTAAAAAAAAAAAAAAAAAGAATAATCGATCTCACCCTCATCATCAAATCGATCAATATCAGACCATTCAATCACACAAGAGATCAACTTCTCCGCCATCGTTGTCCCTGGGTATGCACGCGAGAGGAGAAACCGAGCAGCAGCGCCTTCCATCATCATCACTTTCTGTACGCGAGCAGCCGCGTCATCTCTGGTCGAGCTTCGCCGGACAACCACCGTCGACCGGCAGCCACTACGTGATGAGCAGTTTCACGCTTGAACAGCCGCGAGAAGCCATCTCAGGACGAGAACGGCAGCCCTTTCAAATTATCAGCACCATCCCGATCATCTTTGTTCGCGCAAGAAACAGGTCCGGCGAGTCCGTCCCGTTCGTTGTTGGTGTGAACCAGCAGCCCTGTTGGTCCGTTTTCCTGCCATTAGACCACCGAGCAGCGACACCACACTCCATTCCCAGCGAGTTCCCTGTTTCGCAAGCCGCCGGCGAGTCCCTTTTATTTTTCCCGATCGTGAGCCACCGTTGGTGTCCCGTCGTTAATCGTAGTCAGGCCCCGTGCAGCCCCATCGACCGTTGGCTTTGCCCCTCTGTTCGCGAGCACCGTCCGTCGCTGCCTTGCCTCCACGAGTTGCTGCCATCGCAAGGTTCCAGTAGGTCCGCTGCATATCACCACCGCACGTTCCCGGGAAACCGTTTCCGTTGTTCGTGCTTTTACCGTATGTTTCCCTTTCTTTCCATCGTTGTCCGATCCTATTTATTGCTGCCCGGCCCCCGCTGAGCACTCGCACAACTCTCGAGTGAGCCGAAGCTTAGCCGTCGAGCTCCGTCGGTGCATTCGTGAAGCCATTTCAGTCCCGTTTTGAATCTTCCGTTCGAACGTTTTCCCGAGAACGATATTTAGCCTCGAACCCCATTTCGTTTGATGTCATAATTTGTGTTATGTTTTATAATATGTGCTAAGTTGCTGAACGTGAGACGTACGAGTTAATTACGTGACTTGGATGTTTTATTGAGCCACATATTGAGTTTATATTCTATTTGGGTATCAAAGTGATTGCCGTCACTTTGGTTTATTGTCGAACTGAGTTTCGAGTAGTATTTTTCGTGGAAATCATGAAGTTATAGGTAATTGGAGTTTTCCTCGAGTTATTGGATTTGGTTTGGGGTCGTTTTGATGTGTATATCATGAGTTACTAATTTTCTAAATCGAGTATGCTGTTGAATCATAATTAATTCATGATAAATCGTGTGATTGTCCGACGGCCATGAAATTTTATATGTGATGTCCTGTGATTATTTTGTAAGTCGTGTAAAATTTTCAAGTCGAAAATCCATCTGTAGCTATTTTAGTTAATTGAATCGGTTTCTGCTTAGAATTTTGTAAAATTCATCTAAAATCGTACACTAGGAGTTTTGAGCTGAAACTTTGAGAAGTATGTTATTTTGTGGTATTCTATGTTGTGTCAAAAGTTTGGAGTAAAATTCGAAGTGTAGCTATATGAACTATTAATGTCGGATTTTGACACTGTTTTTGCTTAAATTATTTAAAAATGCTCCCAGATGAATTTAGGGCTGAAACTTGGTGAGATTATGTGTTTTTGTATGCCTTGTGATGTGGTAAAGTTTCAGGTTGATTGGTTGAGTCTAACTCCGGATTCTGAATTTTATTTATTTTGGAGTCTTAATGCTCGGTTATCCGTTGTTTAGGTTCGGATTGGATTTTATTGATGTTGGCATAATTTATGTATTTTACCTGAGGTATATATGTTGTGTTCAAGTCTAGTAGTCGCTCCAAAGTACTTAACTCGGTCAAGGAATCCACGAGTCACTTAGTCGATATGATTTCGACTAAGTATATGTGCCTTGTGTGTTGTCTTGGATTGGATAGTCAGTTGATAGGCTATTATAATTGTTGTAGGTTCATCGAGCTGAACTTTTGCCATTGTTCCTTCAACCATGTGTTTGGCTATATCTCGGTATCCAGGTGGGTTATTCAAAATTTGTCTATGCCTTGAATGATAATTGCTTTATTTATGTGGGTATGATCAATGTATGCATGTGAGCATGTAACCTTCGATGTGAGCTGTACCGGCCATCGAACGGTTATCCCTGTAGCTATAGAACGTATCCCACAAGGGTAATCTCCATGTTTGTCCTTTGCTAAGGACCACGTCATCCGTAAGACCTTGGCAATGTGCCATGGCCGGTGATGGATATCCTGTTTCAGCACTAGGTGCGTGCTGTGATGGTTGAGCCTCCTGCTGTTTGCGCACCCCATTTATGTTCGCCGAAAGGCATACGAGCAGCAGTCTATTGTTATAGGTATGCACAGGAGAATTACTTTGGTTAGGAGTTGGGATATTTATTGACTATGTTCATACAGCGACCATGCCATTTAATTTCTCGTATTATATTATTATTCATGTGCATAGTAGTGAGCACTACAGTTCACCGTGCTCACTTCCACCTGCTCTTCATGGATGCAGGTTAAGCAGGTGTTGGCTGACGAGACAGAGACGAGTGGTGTTGGTCTTTGACTGACCTCATTTAGTTTATTCCGCATGCTAGTATACTTGGATTTATTTATGCTTATTTATGACTTGGGAACTTTGGTATTTATGATTTATTACTTTGGAATTTTGAGAACTTTGGATTGGGAGGTGTTCCCTTATGAATAATTTGGATAAACTTGGGACTTATGAAAACATTGGATTTATGATTTACATTATTTATGTGATTTAGTTCGAGTAGCGCCACTGATTTATGAAAAGAATTTTGAAAAATTTAAGATGACTTTTTGACTTTCGTCAAAATACGATGGTGCGATAAAAATATGTTATCCACATCAAATAATGGTGCCGTGTTCGAAAACAAGTCTTTCCGGAGACGTCGCTTATGTTATCACTTTTACCCTTATTTACCCTTATTTTTCTTCACCGTTTTAAAGGAATACGATTTGGCTTCAAAACACGATGGTACGATAAAATATTTTATCCACATCAAATAACGGTTCCGTGTTTGAAAACAAGTCTTTCCATAGACATCGCTTACGTTTTCACTTTTGCCCCAATTTACCCTTAATTTTCTTGACATTTTTAAACGTATACGATTTGGCTTCAAAACACGATGGTGCGATAAAAATATGTTATCCACATCAAATGATAGTGTCGTGTTCGAAAACAAGTCTTCCCGAAGACGTCGCTTACGTTTTCACTTTATATACTTATTTTCCTTCACTTTTTTAAACGTATACGATTAGGCTTCAAAACATGATGGTGCGATAAAATATGTAATCCACATCAAATAATGGTGTCGTGTTCGAAAACAAATCTTTCTGGAGACGTCACTTACGTTATCACTTTTGCCCCTATTTACCCTTATTTTTCTTGACTTTTTCAAACGTATACGATTTGGCTTCAAAATACGATGATGGGATAAAAGTATGTTATCCACATCAAACAATGGTGCCGTGTTCGAAAAAAATCTTTCCGGAGACGTCGCTTACTTTTTCACTTTTGCCCCTAGTATCCCTTATTTTCCCTGACTTTTTTTAAACGTATACTGTAATATCCCGTCAGTTTCAGTATAAATTATATTTTTAGTTCCGATATTAAATTTCGGAATTAATTATTTTCAGTCAGTTCAGTCGAAATTACCAGAAATTATTTTCGACGTATCGTTTACGTTCGGAATAATTTTGGTAATTAAGTATTATGCTTAATTGAATAATTAAGCAATTAATGGTGATTAATTGGTAATTAATCATAGTTAGCTAAGCGAAAGCCGTATGGAATTGCTAGTTATCTTCAAGGAAATGTCGTACCTTAAGTGGCATATGTTAGGGAATTTAGTCCAATATCTCCTTCATTATTAAGCATTTAACGTGGCAATATTTAAGCAAAAAGGAGTGCTTAGACATTTAAGAAGGGCATAAGCTCTCTACAAGTGTCATTAAGGGAATTAGCCACCAAATCCCATGATTTTCCATCTCTCGGTGTCAAGGCTATTTAAGGGGAGGTGTTTGGGAAATTTTCCCATTTTTCTTCATATATAGCCAAGTTTTCCCATAGGTTATTCATATACTTAAGTTCTACATGCATTAGCTCCATCTTCTCAACACCTAAATATATAGCCGAGAGAGAGTGTTAGAGTAACTTGAAGAGGAGGCTACCACAAGCTAGTTAGCACCGTAAGTTCAACAATTATCCATACGCGTCGCGGTAGTACTCCACGGCAGACAACGCACCACACGACAACCAGGCGCACTCTAGCACCCGTCGCGTAGTAGCAGTCCGTCGCGCGCAGACCGCACGCACGCAAGCGGAGGGTCACGGCCAAGTACGGGAATTCGAAGAGAGTAGTCACTCGGGCTTAATCGGAGGTAAATTCCCGACGGTTGTTGACCGAGATTATCATGTTTATTAAGTTCGGTTTTCAGTTAGGCGTGCATGCGTGTTATGTGTGGTAAAGGCCGTGTGAGAAGCCGTGCCGATCATGTCATGTTTTAAGTTAAAATTCTCCGAGCAATCCTCTCATATTTAGCCTTTATATCCAATATCATGATCAGATTAGTTTATGTGTTCGGAGGATTATTTAGGTCTTGAGGTGTTCGGCCGAGAGGACGTAGTTGCGCATATAGCGCACCACGGGCCGTGCATATGTGTTCAAAATGTTTAGCTCAAATCATTTCAGTATATCATGTTATCTTGTTCAATATATCAGGTTTAAATTCAGTTGCTTGTGTTTGGCCGAAAAGAATTGATGTTCGGTCGTAAAACGGCACAACGCCGTCGGCGGCGCACGGTGCGTCCGCCGCGGCCAAAGTTCAGTCCTTTGAGCAAACTTCATGTTATCAGTATAAATACGTTCATGTGTTCATGTTATGTCAGTTGAGGTCAGTTTGTTCGGAAGTTATTGTCGGACGGCCGGCAAGAGCCGGCCGTGGCC